GTGTCACACTCTATGAGCCCCACTGCCATGGCGCAACTTGCATAGCAGGAAAGATAAGGTGCTGAAGCAGCGGGACGTTTGTTCCTTCAGTCAATTCGCTAACGCCCAGTGAAAAGATGCCCCATTGTGGGCTGATTGCGAAAAATGTTGAGCACAAACAGTTCGTTTATGATGGAATGTGTGGGCTACTCACTGTTCACATGCACTTTTATGAAACACGTGAAGAACGAATATGCTCTCTGCAGATGGAGTGACCACTCGTCTGATTCTACATAAAGGCTCCCAACTGGGCTTGTTCTAAAGTCATCCGTCGAAAGGTGGACGCCTTAATAATGAACACAATCCGACATTTTCAGAGCACAAGATACGTGTTACTTGTGTAAGGCATGACATGGATACTGCTGGCTAGTTGTCAAGGTTCGCCTTGTAAAATGTAGCTTATTTTGTGTGTGTGACCCGCAACTGCGGCCAGTACACTCTGAGTTTTCGTTTTACTAGGGGTTTTGTGTCTAGTAGACTATTGCCCCATAGTCAAGGCGTGAACGTACGAGTCTTTCATACAGATTCATGATTCCATTTCTGTCGCTGCCCCAGGATGTGTGTGACCGTACCTTCAGGATATTCCTTGTTTTGATGCATTTATTTTTAACCTGTTTGAGGTGTGGTACAAATGTTAGCTTCACATCCAAAATTATACCTAGCAACCTATGTACTGTGCTTAGGGGTAGGCGTTCACCTGTAATGATATTGTGAGGATCAGAGTGGAAGCCTTTTTTCCGTGCAAACAGGAGGCATGTGCTTTTTCTGCGTTCCCTTTGAACCCATTTTCATCAGCCCGTTTGGAAACTGTTAAGAGCAAGCTGAACCTGTGACTCACAAATGCTGAGTGAAAACAATTGAAAAGCCATATGTTGTGCTACGGTTTCCTGAAAAAGTGTTTTGCAAAAGACACTGCCCACTCGAACGTGCAATGTGCGAACACACAGATAAATTTCTATGATATTGAACATGTGTGAGAGGTATCTCAATTTCCCGAGCCACCACGCCGCATCATAGGCCTTCTCCATGTCGAGGAATACACCTAGAAATAATGGTTATGAACAAAAGCTTCATGTATGCGCGCCTCCATGCGTGTGAGATGATTGGTGGCGGATTGGCTTTCCCTAAGCCTCCACTAGTATGGGTCTAGCAGTTTGTTAGATTCTAGAAAGTGGAGTAGGTGGCACGTAATCATTTTTTCGAATACTTTAGATTTGCAGCAAGTTAACGCTACATGCCTGTATGTGATGTAGCTGAGGCATCCTATACCTGGCTTAAATTGAAACTATAACAGTTTTCATCAAAAAAGGAATCACACCAGAAAATCATAAAGCATTGTAAAAAAAGGAGATTTCTTGTGTTGCGGAAGGTTAGTGCTTCAGCACCACGTACATTATGCAGTCAAGACCTAGACGAGATGTGTTAATACAGTTTGGCTCGTAGTACGCCTGATCTTTTGTAGATTTTATTTCTGGGTTTTGTTGTTCTGGGTGCGCTTTGTACTTTTGTAAAGTGTCAGAGTGGTGTGAGGAGCTCGATATGTGATAAAAATGTGCACCAAAAACATTGCTCGGTCATCCAAGCTTTCCCCGAGGGTACTTACTATAACGGAAAATAATATGTTTGTTGCTTTTTAATTTTCTGGACCTTGTTTCACACTTTACTTCATCAGTGTACGAGCTGATACTCGTTATAAACTTTGTTCAGCTCTCTCGTCTGGCTTATCTGCGTGTTTTCCTTGCCTGCAATTTTACCTGCTCAAAATTTTGCAGATGTTTCGCTGTTGGAAGGTCGCTAAGCGACGTCCACGCTCTGTTCTGGTTATCCGAGCTTTTCTGCAAGAATCGTTTTACCATGAAACACGCCAGTTCGAAATCAATGTGCTCGTTTCAATAATGCACTTAGATGCGGCATCAAGAATAAAAGCTGTGAAATGCGTGAAGGTGTCGTCTATGATCAGATGCGACATTTTAGTCCATGTCATGTGGGTAAACTTTGATACTGTTCCCACTCAGCTGATTTGGTCTTGCATCTCGGTACCAGCGGGTGTACTTGGTATTTGTTCGGCATGCTCAGAATTATTGGAAAGTTGTCACTCCCATAACAGTTTCTAAGAGCTCTTCATAGGAAATCGGCCAAAAAGGATGGTGATAAATGCTAACATATATCGAATCGAGGAGTACGAATTGTTGGCCAGGGTAAAATACGTAAACACCTTCGTATTTCAGAGGCATAAGCTAAGCGAGCAAAGAAGTTCTTCAAGGGACGTTCTCGAGCATAACAACTAGAATCACCCACAGGACGCTAAGTACTTTATAATAACCTAAAAGTAAAAAGGGTTCTTGGAGTTCATCTGTTAACGATCGCAAGTCGCATCTGTTAAGCTCAGAGGGTAGGGGCATATAAAGAGAGCATGAGGTGATAAGTTTGTTACAAGGTACAGCTCGAACGGCCACTGCATCAAGAACTGTCTGGAGCTTCATCTGCTGGCATGCTACATTTCAACCAGCTATAATGTCCACTCTGCCCGATGATACGACAGCATCTTCAGGGTCATTTCGGAAAATATTGTAATGGCGGCGAAATTCGGTGCATGTGTCGAGGAGTAAAGTGTTTTTCTTGCATACGCAACACTTTCAGGTTGAGCTTACTGAGATGTTCTTAGACCGCATCTGGGTTTCGGAGTACTCTCTAACCTTCAAGTAAATGATTTTCTGCATTACAAACTAGCAAGAAAGTGCTGAGTGTAAAATTAACTGAGAGTGGCTCATGTTACCGGGCCGTTGTGAGGCCCTATAACTGGTGCTTTTTCTTTTTTGGAGCGGTCGCTACAGGTCGCCATGTTTCGGCGCTACCAACATCGTTCGGCTGAAGTAGTGTCCATAGCCTCCTGCGAGGCACTGGACGCCCACTTCAGAAAGCAAGCTCTGGGTCGCTTATACTTCGCTTCAGTCGACGAAGTCTTTCTTCTCACCGAGCAGGATGTTGATGGGACCCCCTTAGCCTCTTCATTGCCCTGGCTGCTTCATTGGCCTGCCCTGACTGGTGTGGACTGGTTTATTGTGGGCAGGGCAGCGCTGGCTGCTGCCACCTAGGAGCAAGTAGCTTTGAACTGGGCTCTCTAGGTCTGGTCTAGATATCTACCAAGGGCCACGGTGTCGCCACCCCTCGCTGCACCTTTTCGGGGAAAGATGTTCTTAGTGCGAAGAAAGGTGAGACTCGTTGTCGCGCTTCACGGAATTTGAAATCATCATTAACTTTTATGGTGATAATTCTCTCTCTCTTCGAGGCTGGGCACGTTCTGGAGTATGCGGGATGGTTGCCTTCGCAGTTTGCACAGAAAACCTCAACGTGTCGGCATTCACCCATACCGTGACCAGGTGTGCCACGCGTACCGCAAGTGAGCTGAACTCAGCAGATCTGAGACCCATGTCCAAATCGCTGACATTTAAAACAACGTCTCGGGTTAGGAATTTACGCACGCACAGGAAGCTTTACATGGCCGGTTACGATTGTCTGGGTTAGAGTGGTTGAGTTCAAAGTAAGTGTTGTGTGCTTTGTTGCAATTTAAGTGTTCTTGCGTCTAATTGTTATGTGCTGCAAATGTGCTATACATTTGTCCTTCCATCCATCAAGGAGTTCATCTTCACGTAATGTCATCAAGTCTCCATCGGATACAACGCCCTTCACTGTGTTCAGGGTAAGATGTGCACACACTCATACGGGGATATAGCCAAGAGCTACGAGCTGTAAAATTTTTTAACTGCTCCTTGTCTTTCCATTCAAATAAAATATCCCAACAAGCCATCTTTGTAGCCTGAAGGCTGGTTCCAATGGTGTTGTTCAGGCACTTGGCGAAAAGAAAAAGCGAGATTGGTTTGCAGTTAGTTGAGGATTATTCGCTGTGAAGAAAATAGTATTATGGGAGGGTTGCAACCTTATGGCGGGAACAATTGGTCACGGTGGGGGGGGGGGGGGGGGGTTCAAAGGTGTTATGATGAAGGGGCTTCTTCGGCATCGGCGCCTACCACCCACCACGCAGCCCAAGAAGGGGACGTGGCAGAACATGTTAGCTAGTCTGCTCTACGCCAGCAGTACGCCACTGATATATGACCAAATTAGGTTTACCCTGGGTAGAATAGCCGCACAATATTAAGCTTAGCCGCCATAAAACACCGAGGTATTTGGAAAAGAGAAGACAGCATACATTTAAAATGAAGAAAAAGACGAAAATGCAAAAAGAGACAGGAAAAGGGAACTGCCGATTTTCCCAGGGTCGGTCAGCGCAGGGGTACCGTCTGTGTGAAGCTGGGGACAAAGCGGTATCTTGTATCTAGCGGAGCCTTAAACATCCAATCACTCAGCGTTTGCTCAACACCCAGGATCCAGCTTACCCCGGACACGACAAAGCCACGCAAGGTGAGGCGTGAGACGGGATCTAAATCCCCCCGTTGGCTTTGGTTCGGGATGTCGCCGCGCACCAAACGCCTGCTCCACTGACCCGGGTACGAGCGTAAATATTACAGTATATCCGATTCCGGGGATGTAATGTAAAGTAACGTTAGCTGCGCAAAACACTTTTTTCTGCGATGGAGGAAGGTGGGGGGCGCTTCAATGTAATCAATTTAGAAGTAAAAAAAACAAGCAAGGTGCGCAACAAACCGCATGACTTCTGTGGTGCTCTATGCAGCAAAGTCGAATTTCACAGTTCTTACAAGAAATCGTAACAATGGAGATCTTTTCAAGCTAAACGATATAGCACATGGAAATATATAGTACGCCGGTGTACGAGCTCCTTTGCTTATGAACAACGGCATGCATGATATCTGAGAAAATATTGTGTGGTGAGAACAATACACACTAGCACAATTTGCAAACAAAGAAGTGCGCGCACCTGGCACGAAGCTGGGAATGCTATTTCCGAGAGCTACCAAGCGCTTGCACACGCAAGCTGCACAGACTTTCACAGCTGTCAATGAGGTGACAAACAGAGCCCCCTTTGTGCGTGCTTCTATTTCCATAAGGTAATGCAAATTTTTATGCTTCAATACACGCGACCGTCGTGGAATATTTACAACTACTGACCGCCCAGTCTGGGTACAGAAAACACAAAAAAGGTGACAGTTCTACTTCTGTCGTGATCTAGAATCTAACCTAAAGTTACATTTCTCTTGCCTTTGCATAAGACGTCGAGAGAGGACACGTACGTTTGGAGACACTCCCACACAAGGTGAATAATTCTAGGACCCCAGTCATCGTTCCCACGTATACCATAAAGCCCAAGGAAGGTAAACAGAAGCGTCAACGCTATCACTATTGTCTTCGGCTTCGAGTGCATTACCATGTTCGTACTTTGTTTTCTCGAATGAGAGGTTAAATGAGCATATACATGGCCTGTTATCGTTGTTCTGTTGTTCTATTCATTTCATTTTGTTTTCTTTTGTGGCATGGTGCAGCGGTGCTTCGAAGTATGTTTTTTTTTTTCGGACAACTTATGTTTCACGTTTATTTCGCTGTCTCTTTATGACAACTACCTACTGATTCCTGGCATTTTATGCGTATCTGTACTTAGTTTTTCATGGTAGGAAACAATGTAGGAGACGTGAAGAGCATGTATGGGTAAAAGGCGCGAAAATTGCTACCACTACACAAACATGATGATTTATGCACAGTGTTCTGCATTCAATATCGTAAGATCTCAGGAATTGCTATGAAAGGTCGTGTAAGAAAGTTAATAGCTTCCCTTACCACAGAAGTCATCTATCTCATATTTCGCAGTTGCGGCAGAACACTCTTCGATTTTCGAACTACCTGTATCTATCCTTCAGTTCAGAATTGGTCTTGTAGGATGCACAATTGCAACTCAAACAGGCAGGTATATTAAAGCTTTCTAAATAAAGAAACTTAAATGGGTTCGAGCCCCGCCGCGCTGGTTTATTGGCTAAGGTACTCGGCTGCTGACGCGCAGAGCGCGGGTTCGAATCCTGGCTGCGGCGGCTGCATTTCCGATGGAGGCGGAAATGTTGCAGGCCCGTGTGCTCAGATTTGGGTGCACGTTAAAGAACCCCAGGTGGTTTAAATTTCCGGAGCCCTCCACTACGGCGTCTGTCATAATCATATAGTGGTTTTGGGACGTTAAACCACACAAATCAATCAATCTTGCTGCTCCTGCGGTGTTTTCTTTCACATGACATGTTACGAAACTGGTATGGTATGACATGAGTGCACGGCGAACAAAAGTGACAGACCCTAATATGAATATCATCACACGCGTTTCATCTAACAACATGACTACATGCGATACTCATGCCGCAACATGACTACATGCCGCACAGGTGAGTAATCAATACTCCCTATCCTGTTCTCCTGCTACTACTTGAAGTTGTTTTGACTTGCTTTGAGCAGAAAAAAAAGGCATTTGCATAGAGGCCCTGTTTCGATTTTTTAAAATATTCTTCGGTTAGTTACGTCGTGATAGATATGCCTATTTTTCTTTGTATATCATGTATCATTTATATGTCATATATGCTATTTGAATTCGATTTGAAATTTTTCGATCAAAATCACTGTTCGCTTCGAATTCGCTTCAAACCTATAATTCACTATTAGCACAAGCCTACTATTATTCATTATATTGCACAACAATAATGCGAGGTGGTCTTGTGGTCACTTGAAATGCGTTCTGAATGCACATTAATACGGTTGTTAGTTGTGACATGCACAGATTTATTGCACTTCTGATTGCAGAGGAAGTGAATATTTAACTGTTGCCTATCTTGGCAGTATAAGCACTGCACTAACTGCAGGTGGGTAATAGATGGTAAATGTATGTAGAAGTCAGACATGATGAGCTTTCTTTATTTTAAGTGTAAACTAGTGTGGCTACCTTAGTATAGATTAACCACTACGAATACCTGAAATGCACCCATTGAATTTATGTTATTTGGTTTGTTCATGTTACTTGTATTGTTATTGCACCGGACTTTGTCCTCTTTTCCTGCTATGTTCCTTTCAACTCGATGAGTGTGGCAGGAGTATTACTTTGAATGGCGTCGACAATTTGCACCATGCTGACAATATTTGAATTACTAACATACTAGGAGATACAGTATACACGTGCCTCATATGTGACACACGTTACTACCCCTTAAGGCAATTTAATCTTTCCGGTCATAACCTTCAGTTTCTAAATAATTTATAGCACTTTTGATAGCACATATCCTCGCCTCTCGAAGAACAAATGAAGACAAACTTGTCTGGCGTGTGCCATGTAACTTGTTGCACAGTATATGGAGCCACGCTGACAGTGCTTGTGGAGCGTGGGTAATTAATGCTCGTGGGTGCAGTCTGTAACACGTACACATTTTTGTAACACAATTATGAATTGGTTAATTCTGTATATTGAGTTGCAGATGAGGATATTGGGTGTCGACACACCATTAACAGGCCCCTCGGCACTTCATTTAGGACTCGTAGCACGCCAGAACTCATGTGGCACAATTTTCATGCACACTGATTTGCTGCTGCACTATATCAGATTCTTTAATTAGAACAATATCAGGCACTTTGATACACACAAGAGGCATCGCTTCTTGATGGCTGATGGCTGCACGAACATTTAGGCTTAGCCTTATGACCAGTGTATGAGTCAATAGCCATTTAGTTGTGAGACTGTGCCGTTCCTTCTTTTTATTACTTATTATACTTATTTATTTATTTTATTTTATTTTATTTTTCAGAGGGAAAAACATTCTTTTGTACATCTGGCCTTTTGTTTGTGTGAACATAGTACTTACAACGCGAGGTGCTTGAAGCATCTAGTTCATAGTCGATGGGCGCTTTACGCAGCTTGCGGGGCAGGAATGCGAAGGCATCACAAGTCTGTGTACTATATCAGGAGTTCCACATCAACAGTGATGGTCTTCACTATCAAAGATAAGAGGCCAATGTGTAATACTAAGGCTACACCCATTGACAAGTGAGATCAACACCGTCTCCTTTTTTATCATTGTCTACTCACTAAAAAAAGATGGGGGTCCCGCAGTGCCCTGGAAAATTTATTGGGGTTTCCCAAGGCCATAAAGATTAAGAAACCATATCCTAGAAGAACTTACAAGAGATTTTGAGGGACCAAGTTTATTATGGTGGAATGAAAAAAGGTAATATTCAAGGTAATTTCCAGAATATTGGTACCTGCAATTTGTTACTTCTTAGTGCAGGAATATGTCAGTAAGCAGTATTTTTATGCCTTGGCAATCTCTAAAAATGTATTAGTGCCAAAGTCAGCAACAGTACTTGAAAGCAAGAGCAATGCTGCTAGCCAGCCTCATTACATTCTTGGATTACCTTCTTAGGTATATTGAGGTACTTGTTACTTTTTATTTATTCCGGTTGGGAACTGCGCGGCACCGGGCCGGATTAAAAAAAAATCCGCGTGTTGATGGAACTGCATTAAGAGGGCCTGGGGTGTGGCCTCAACGGTAACCACCACTGGAAGCGCACTCCCTCACCAGAGAAGGATTGGCCACCCTGGTGGAGTATCTGGCCACTACCTCGCACATGCATACGCCAAATAACTCACGGCCCTCAGTCCCCAGCAGCTGCGAAGCAACTGACCACGGCGGTGGTCAGATCTGCAACGCAGCAAAGGGTGCTAAGAATCTCTGAATCCGGACAGGCCGCCATTGGAACCTGAACTTGGCAACGTTTAACGCTAGAACCTTATCTAGTGAGGGAAGTCTAGCTGTACTATTCGAGGAGCTAGAGGGTGTTAAATGGGATACAATAGGGCTCAGTGAGGTAAGGAAGACAGATGAGGCTTACACGGTGCTGCAGAATGGGCATGTTCTTTGCTATAGGGGCTTGGCTGACAGAAGAGAACTGGGAGTGGGGTTTCTAATTCACAGAAACATAGCTGGCAACATAAAGGAATACTATAGCTATAATGAAAGGGTGGTAGGTATCATAATTAAACTGAATAAGATATACAAGATGAAGGTGGCACAGGCCTACGCGCCTACATCAAGCCATGATGACGCTTCAGTTGAAAGCTTCTATGAAGATTTCAACTGAAGCGTCAGCTTCTATGAATCGGCAATGAGTAAGGTAAAAACACAGTATATAATACTGATGGGAGACTGTAATGCAAAGGTAGGGAAGAAGCAGGCTGGAGACCAGGCACTAGGAGATTATGGCATCGGCACTAGAAACGCCAGAGGAGAGCTACTAGTAGAATTCGCAGAACGCAAATTTTTGCGGATTTTGAATACCTACTACCAAAATCAAGAAAACCGCAAGTGGACATGGAGGAGCCCTAATGGCGAAAATAAGAACGAAATAGACTTTAAAATGACTGCACACCCAGGAATCGTGCAGGATGTGGAGGTGGTTGGCAAGGTATGATGCAGTGACCATAGACTGGTACGGTCTCGAATTCACCTAGTCTTGAAGAAGGAACAACAGAAACTGATACGCAAGAAGCCAATCATTGAGCTAGCACTGAGAGGGAAAGTACAGGAATTCAGAGTGTCGCTGCAGAACAGGTACTCGGCTCTTAGTGAGGAAACCAACCTTAGCGTAGATACAATGAATGATGATCTGACGAGTATCATTACGGAGTGTGCAGTGGAAGTTGGAGGCAGGGTAGTTAGACAGGACACTGGCAAGCTTTCCCAGGAAACGAAGAACCTAGTTAAGAAGCGTCAAATCATGAAAGTGTCAAGTACAACAGACAAAATAGAACTGGCAGAGCTTTCGAAGTTGAATAATAGACGTAAAGTATGCGATGTAAGAAGGTATAACATGGAGACAATTGAACACGCTCTGAATAACGGAGGAAGCGTCAAAGAAGTGAAGAGAAAACTTGGGATAGGCAAAAGTCGGATGTATCCACTAAGGGACAAAGAAGGCAAAATAACTACCAATATGGATAGGATAGTTAAAATAGCGGAGGAGTTTTACAGAGATCTGTACAGTAGCCGAGACAACCACGACCTTAATACTATAATAACTAGCAGTAACTCAGATGACATCCCACCAGTAATGATAGAAGAAGTCAGAAAAGCTTTAGAGAGCATGCAAAGAGGCAAAACTGCTGGTGAGGATCAGGTAACATCAGATCTGCTGAAAGATGGAGGACAGATTGTGTTAGAGAAACTAGCCACCCTGTTTACGAGGTCTCTCCTGACGGGGAGAGTACCAGAGTCTTGGAAGAACGCTAACATCATCTTAATACATAAGAAAGGAGATGACAAGGACTTGAAGAATTACAGGCCGATCAGCTTGCTCT